GCACAGATTGTTGGTATAGTGAAATGCTGTAGTGATACTCTAATGAAGACAAAATATATGTTAGTAGAACAAGATTATGATATAGTAAGATTGCCCTGAGCAACCGGGTCTGAACTCAGTGCTAACCTTGTTTTGAGCAGAAGGGGCCTAGAGGCCTTGCAAGGTCACTTGCCACCTGAATAACTCTATGTTTTAACTAGACAGTCACTCAGACTTCACACAAGTAAACATGCTTCTGCGTATAAGTGGAAGATGTTTCGGGGTCCCATTTGGTGGCAAGATACCAGATGCAAACCAGCTTCTCTCCCCTTTGTTCTACATCTTGGAAGCAGCCTGAATACGTGGTCCAGAATACGTGGTCCAGAAGGAAGCTCATTCAAAGCTGCCTTTGGCCCTTTTAGATTAACTCTCTACTGTAACTTTGCTAGCTGTACGTCTTGGAAGCAGGTAGTAACTAGCAGCTATTCCAGAAGCCACTCATAAAGTTAACATCATCCTCAGAAAGACTCAGTTCAGGCTTATAGACACCATGTGTCTTCCCACTGGTTAGCAAATGATGTCTTTGTCAAGTAAACCCATTATTTGCAAATAAAAATTCAATAACAGCTACATGCTAACTATATTTTAGCTGCCCTTTGCAGCTCCATTGTGATAGGAACCGTAAAAATACATTCAATGGCACTCCCTGCCTCACAGTATAGCCTAGGTGGTGAACAAATGAAAAAATGGTGCCTGCCTTTATTTGCTTCACACAAAGTAGATGGCATGCGCTGAATCATGCAGAGAACTGTACTAACCCGTTTCCTATGCCCCCGAATGTACACTGGAGTAATCTTGCCAGTCATAAAGCAAAACGCTCATGGTGTCAGGGTCTTCTGTTATCATCTAGCCTGAAGTGACTTGGAAATGAATGAAACAGAATTAAATATCAAAGCATCATACCAAGATATTCTAAGCTGACTTTCCTATTGTGGTACAACGACAGCGCTACCCTTTGCTTTGCTAAAAGAGGAAGAAAAGTGAAGTGTCCCAAATTCTGAAAACAAAATGAATTTCAGATTGATAGTTGTTTCAGTATTTGAATTTTAGTAATTTGCAGAGAGCATTGCAATGGCTATAAAAGGAACTATTAGCTGTTGGCAGTTAATAAATTACAGTTAGTAAATTGTTCATTATCTATGGAAAATTTTGTATGACATCATATCACTTTCAGCAGGTTGCTGTTCTAAAATGCTATTTTATATTTTCCCACTCTTAGGTCTTATACATACTTCGTTGTAGGAAAGACACTACTATGTATCTACAAAAAAAAAACAATAAAAAACTTATCAGTTATTGCTTTTTTTAATAATAAAAAGCACCTTTAAGATAAATTATTTGTACCATACCCTCTTTATGAAGAAAAACAGAAAAATACAAATGGTTGATCAAGCAATCTCTCCTTTACTATAGTTGGAGAAGTAAAAACAGTAGAAAAAACATTGCTGGGAAATGCAGTTTTCATTGTTTCCTAGTATTCTGAGCAAAGATTAAATCAAAATATTTTGCTGTTATCGTCAAGAAGAGTTTCAATAATGATTTGGACATATTTTCAGCTGTAAGATTACACTATTTTAAAAAATTTTTGAAACAATTCAGCCTCGCTTAACTGTTTGTTTAAAGTTTTTCACTCCAGAGAACTGACTTTAATACTAATTTCTACAGACAAATACTTTAACATGTATCCTGAGTATTTCTTTCCTGTTAGTCTGGTTTGTGAGCTTTCCAATAGAATGAGGTCCTTGCTAATGTTAGTTTAAATTACCTGATATTTCAGGTTAATTTTAGAATGGTTTCTAAGGTTACAGAGAAATCCTCATATCTCCAGTCTCTTATAACATGTAACCTATGGCTTTTTGTTTCCCAGGTCTCCTAACATAGTCAGACACTAGACTTCAGGAGAGCTGACTGTCCAGGACATTTCATATCTGATTTTATGCTAAGCCCTGTAACGCATTGCAGATTTGCTCTAAGCATTCAAAACGGTAATGGAGGTACTGAGTTCTGCCATATTTCATAGTGCTTTAGATCAAGAAGGGCCACTTAGTTATCTGATTTCCCAGGCTCTTGTGTATCACAGGCCATTATTACTCATGCTAGTACTTCTGTAGCAAGCCCAAGGATTTGAATTAAGCTAAAACATTTCAGCTCTCATGTACACCACAGGCAGAGAAGAAAGGCCACTATCCAAGGCCTCACATTAACAGGGAATTGATGAGATATGCTTGAATGATCTCTGCAGATCGTGCTTGTCTAAGACCCTGACATAAAATCCCATTTCATAAATATCTAACAATCTTTTCTTGCTTATCTTCCTAGACATGCTTGACTTTACAATTAGCACTCTCAAGCAGAAGTGCTTTTCCCAAAATACAGACTTAGATTTGTGCAGCATCTCTCATGCATAAAATGCAAGATCTCTACAGTTTTTCCAGAAAAGGGGAAAAAAAATAATCTTACACAGAAAAGGCAAGCTTTACACTTCTTTTAAAGGATGTCACTTCAAGTAGAGGGCTAGTCAAATGTCAAGAAATAGATGCCTGGATCATGACTTGAGCAAGCTATTACAATTAATGCTTCAGAACAAATTGCTTGTACTGCCTTCGGAAATTTTACCATATCTATTAGTTCTACTTTGGCAGATATTCAATTAGGAAGAATATGTGAAGATACTTTACTTACCGCATTATCTCCCAAAGCTGTTTTGATACTAAGCCGTACTTTGAAAGCATTCTGTGCATCTGACACAAAGAGAAAGAAAGCAAACATATATTGAAAATCATCCTAAAAACAGGATTTTAAATCATTTACTTTTCTAATTGTTTCACAAACCACCATTTCTCAATTTGTCTCAACAGCTAACCTGATTAGGAGAACTGGAAGGAAGGAAAGAAGTTCACAGGATACTGTGAACAAAGCAGCAGCCCTTTGGATTCTCAGCAAGGTTTAACCAGGAGCTCTTTAAAATAGGTAACATCAGCTTCTGTGCTTAATTTGAAATCTCACAAAAGAACTGAATGCTCAGAGTTTCAAACTTGAAACTGGAGACAAAACAGCTAAAATACCAGCCTAAGAAGCTGACAGCTTTGCAAGCATAAACTCATAAGTAAATTTAGCTAAGGATGGGAGTCACCTCCAAAACTCACCTGGCTTGCAGACCTCAGCATGAGCAACGGCAACCACAGAGAAGGCAATCAGCAAAACCTGTAACATCCTTTCAGTGTGAAAAACCTGAGGCAAAAAGAAATAACTCTCCACTGTAAAGCACTCTTAAACTTTCTGTGACCCAGGATTAAAGCATCAGCAGCACAAGTGAGCAACCAAGGAAAAGGTTTAATAATTAACCCCCGTTATTTTAGCTAAAACAAGCACTAGAAACAACTGTCTTCTGTCAGTTATTTATTACTTTTGTCTGCAGGAAAAAAAGGTACAATAAGTATTTAACTTTCTTTTTTGCTTTTTAGAACAAAGCAAAACTTTACACAGTGCCACAAGCCAACCTTCTTTCTCCCTCAGATACCATGTTAGACACACACATACACGCGCGCGCGCACACACACACATACACACACACACACAGGTGTCTGAGATACAAAACACAAGGCCACCCTGCAACTCCAGCGGCTGCATAACCTTGCCACCCAGGGCACATGAATTTGAAATCCAGCTGCCATTGTGCTGTGTCAACAGAATCAGAAGAAAACTGCCATCCAGCTTCCTTAGGAAACAGGCTAGCTCAACAGAAGGCCTTTGAGAAGAAATAAAAGCAAAGTAAGACTGGGCTTCTCTTTCTTTCCCCCAAAAGAAATATTTGGCGAGGAGAGTCCAAACTAACTACTCAGGGTATAGGGCGCTATCACCAGTGATGGTGTGGGGCAGTGCCCATTCTCTACAGGAGGCATGTGCAGGCTGCATCCATGCCCAGGAGGAAAGCTGGCCCTCGTGCATAACCCCTGCCCCAGGACTGGGATCCTGGGGTGCATTAGGCAGAGTGTTGCCAGCGGGTGGAGGGAGGTGATCCTGCCCCTCTCCTCAGCCCTGGGGAGGCCTCCCCTGGAGTACTGTGTCCAGTTCTGGGCTCCCCAGTACAGGAGAGACATGGCACTCCTGGAGAGAGTCCAGCGGAGGGCTACAAAGATGAGGAGGGGACTGGAGCACCTCTCCTGTGAGGAAAGACTGCAAGAGCTGGGCCTGTTGAGCTTGGAGAAGAGAAGACTGAGAGGGGATCTGATCAATGTGTACAAGTATCTGAAGGGAGGGTGTCAAGAGGATGAGGCCAGTCTCTTCTCCGTGGTGCCCAGCGACAGGACAAGAGGCAACGGGCAGAAACTGAACCACAGGCAGTTCCATCTGAACCTGAGGAAAAACTTCTTTCCTGTGAGGGTGACAGAGCATTGTAACAGGTTGCCCAGAGAGGTAGTGGAGTCTCCTTCGCTGGAGATATTCAAAACCCGTCTGGATGTGATCCTGGGCAATACGCTCTAGAGGACACTGCTTGAGCAGGGAGGTTGGACTAGATGATCTCCAGAGGTCCCTTCCAACCTAAACGATTCTGTGATTCTGTGATTCTGTGACTCCAGATGTCCAACCCACACTTTGCCCCGAGCCCACCCCACCTCTCCGCACCTGCAGGCGGACCTCAGCGTCCCAACTCTGTGCTGCCCCCGCACCGCCTGGGCTCTACTCCCACGTCCTGCCTCACAAGCTCGTCCTCAGCGCAGGGACCAGTGGGTGCCGGACGCACTGCACAGCAAACCGCAGGGCTGGGAGGTGACCACCGAGCAGCGGCACCCACCCGGGTGGAGCAGCTTAGCCCACAGGTGCCAGGGACTGTACACCACCACCCCTTCACATGCGCAAGCAAGGCTTCAGCCAAACCAAGGCTTAGAGCTAGCATAGGGCAAGGACCTCCTGGGAGGTCAAACTGAACGAATGTGGCTGCCGCCTAGTCCAGGCACCCGGCCCAAGTGACAGGCAGAGGTTTCAAGGTAAGATCTCAGAGGTTTATAGCTCGTTCCACAAAAAATTTGCTGTGATATTGCTTTGAACTAAAAAAAAAAAAGCGTTTCAAAGGCTGACAACTACTTTCCTGCTGTTGGACAATTCTTACAGTAGCAACTAGTATAAGAAAAAGTGCAGTTAAAGGATTTCATAGGGAAGTAGGTATGCATATTGAATAAGGACATATTTATGTTTTGTATATGTGACACATGTTGTACATACATGGGTACACACATGTATGGAAATATCTCAGTGGCATGCCCTACACTCTTCCCGAAACATTTTGAAAGGCAAAGAAATAAACGCAGAGGAGAAAGAACTCGGAAAGTGAAAGGTATCACTTCAGATTCAGGAGCAGTCTTGCAACATAGACAGCAAAACAAGATTATTTAATTCCACTGTGCTACTGTATTCCCCTTGTAGTCATTTTGATTAACGGTTAGTCCTTACATTGAAGAGCGATTCAAAAAGATTTTCAGTTGTTCCTTTAGCACCAAGAAGTGTGTTTTGAGACTACAAACCTAAAGACCTTCAAAAGAATGACTAGCAGAGAGAATATTTTACCTAACCATGGGACTGAATTTATGGGAAAAAAATAATCAGCATTTACTACTTAAAATACTTGGATTTTCATGTAATTGAGGATTTACTGATACACTAATTTAATCTCACTTTTGGAAAAAAATTGATGCCCCATCTTTAAAAGTCATTAAATTTACTGTCGCCTGGCCATCTGTTTATTTTCTCTAGGCAATCAGTTCTGAGCACAACCCTATTAGATATATTATCTGCTTAGATGTTCAATCCATGCATATGAAAACAAAATAAGTGATATATTCACTTCTAGTGATTGCTCAAATTAACACCCTGCATGTACGTGCATCAAAAAGAAAGCACTAAAAAATGTACAGACGTTTCAAAGACAGAGTTTTCTGTAGTATGTATAATTAAAAAAATTAAAAAGAACGTTACCAGTTAACGTGAATGTTACCAGTTTCTTGCTAAATGCACATGCATTGTTTTCAGTAATTGGCATTTGAACTTTGCTGTATCATTGAGGGAAGTATTGGAGTACATAAGAGGAGACTGGAAAAGCAAAGTAATTTTTCCTGCTGCCAGAAGCGGAATGGAACTGACTGGCAATATGATTCATCATCACTTCTCCCCACGGCAGACCACTGTAAATTAGTTCTTTCCTTCAGAATCACATGAAGCCAATGCCAAAGCACACTGAAGTCACACAACACCCAGCAGGAGCAACTCAGAGGGTAAGACTGGATTCCCGGAGCAGGGCTGCTGACTTCCAGCTGGCATGGCTGATTTCACTGATTTGTCCTGCTGGCAAGCAGTAAGATGAATGATTTTTCTGACAGAGAGGAGGCGGTCAGGAGGGGAGGAGTGTGATAAAACCTCGGCCCCGAGCTCACAGGCAGAGCATCTTATCGCTGATATATACACCCACAACAACTTGAATGCATTTCAAATGCACCCACTGACTGCCCATGTGCTTTTTCAGTTGCATATGCCCAGAGCACTGTACATAAACAACTCTTTGCTGCACATCAATAAATCTTTTTCCCAAGCTGACATGGCTTTTAAACAAGCCAGATAGACAAGCCTAGACCAGATATTAGTAGAAAACTAACTTTTCTTCAAATAATGACTTTTTTTCAGGAGTGTCATAAAAAGCATCACAATTTTTCATGTTACAAATGGAATACATCAGCACAATCTAAAAAGACATACATTTTGCCCCTTATGCATCAATGCAATAAATCTATGTGAATGGATAACTTTCTGCTCAATCTTTTTTTTCTCCAATTTTAGCCAGATAATGTAATGCTGCTTAAGCACATATGCATTTGTTTGCCTCTGACTAATGAGTCACACATCAGTTTGCCTGCACATATGAATCTACACGCATATGTGCGAGTTGCATTATTTCAGCTCTTTAATTTTTAATTAATTGAAATTATTTAATTTTTAATTAGTTCATCTTTTATTGTAACTTTGTTTTTCCTAACCTTTGAGTTTCAAGCCATAGCATCTTGGAAATATCATTGAACTAACGCAATGAACTATTGCTGTTCATGTACTGTGTGAATTTGTCTGTCTGGCTGAAAATAATAGCATTTACAAAATCTTCTTCAGTGCTTGTGACTTTCAAAAATTTATACATTATCTGTACATATTGATATACTTAACAGTATACCGTAACTTGGACTTTTAAACAAATCAAGAGAGGACTAAAACTTCAGGAAGTCATATGACTTGGTAAAACAAACAAAACCCTTCCATCATCTTGATGTGACTAGCAATGTACTGTTCTGTTTCTTTCAATGTCTTTGAAATGGAAAATCCCAGGAAAGTAAAATATTGATAGCTATCATATAAGTTAATTAACAGCTATGGCCAAACTTAACCTCAGTTTTCAAATTCGACAAATTAACAGTTTTAAACTCTGAGGAAGTTAATCTTTAGTCTTAAATAGTTGTGTTCAACTCTTATGAGGAAAGAGTCAATGTGCTACTGTCAGCATTAGTCAGTCATGGAAATGTACCTAGAGAACTACAGATCTAATTGTACCAGGTGCTTTGCAGGTTCCCTGGGTGCAGTGGAAACAACGAACGTTGCATATCTTCTGCAGACTTCAGGAGCTGGTGAGACCAGCCTCTAAGTAAATATCAGTATCATCTAACAAACCAGTACTGGCTGAGATAGGTCCAGTCCATGCCTCATTATAAGGGAGTTCTTCTATCAACTTTTTGTGGAACAGGGTGTTGAATCAGACCGATAGGCACTGTCACATCGTTGTAAGAAGAGAAAAGTAACTTACATTGTCACTGACTTTTTATTAGTGCTCACAGAAGTACATGGCACGTGAGAAATCATTTATCCCTTGAGACAGTAGCATAGCCATTGGATAGCAGGTGAGGGAAAGATGCATTCTCTAGAGTGCTCATATATTGTCTTGAAACATGCATTTTCCAGTGAAAAGCAGTGAGGATTGCCCACAAAGGGCTTAGCACAGAGAATGAACAAGCAGTGACCGCCAGTGTAGTGGAGAAGAGAGGTGCAGTTGCTATCACTTCCCTAATTATTTTGTAATACAATCTACTGTCCTGAAGCTTCAATGAAAATCCAACAATTCCGGTCTCAAACCCACATTTACTGAATGTTTTCTAATGAATGTGTATTTTCTTAGTTAACCAAATCCACACTACTGATTTACTGCCATGTCCCATGTTTTCCCATTTCCATTTTCTTCAATAAATGGAATGGAGAACGTAACTCGAGCTGTATGATTCCATGACGATAGCTCCACCGAAGCATATGGCAAAAATTCAGATGAGAACAATTTTAAGATTATCTTTATGCCTATAAAATATATTTCTTTTTCTCATGGGGCTTCTCATAGGAACTTCTTATCTGCAAACGTTAGTCCGTAGTGGTAGGAATTTGAAGGAAATGGAAACTAGACGAACCATGTGCAAATTAAGCATAAATTTGTGCTTAACAGAGAGAGCGGCTACACTACATTGCTCTGAGTTAGTCTACTGTAAGGTACTGTAATGTACCTTACAACTCATGCACAGATTTATGATGGAATATGGTGTGTAGCTTCAAGCTGCATGAAAAATGTTCCTGTGTTTTGTGCCATTCTGTAACGTATAATCAGTGCACCTGATACCTATATTGCATGGAACTTATATACCCCATGAGGAGAAGGTAAGTATGTTTTTCTTGAAGAAATAAGGAAGAGTGATTTCTGCAAACCTCTGGAAGACTTCTGCGAAAATGAACAATGTTTGAAGAGGCCAATGTTCTGTAAAACCAGTGTAAGGGTTAACAACTACTGACCAGAATTCTAGATTATTCTGGATATGGGAATGGAATTTTCCAGTCCAGAATGGACATACTTGTCTTGCTGAAACAAATATTTCACAGCCCTGTAACAATTTAGTTGCATGGAATTCTATAACTGTATTTGACCATCAAGCTACTCTTACATGTATAAATTAATGAGAATAAACAAAATGGAGAAAAATGCAATTATTGTATTCCCATTCCAAAGACACATCACAGCTTCTTCACAATCAATACCACTTACAAAAGTGCTATTACTTACAAATACTTTTACCTTACAAAAGTAAATTAGAGATAATACTAAGATCTGCTAGTAACTAACATCTGTGTTTTCTTACAAAAAGACCCTCCTTTTCATTACTCAGATTTATTAAGACAAGCATTTCCCAAAGCATATTAAACCAGCATCTAATACAGAGACGGCTACAAAGAAGTGCAGCAAGTTAACAAAAGAAATGAGTGATAGTTCTCAGTATTGACTTATACAGAGTGTAAAAGGTCGTCATTACACCACCTATTCTCTTAAAGAGGAGGATGAAAAATTAAAGCTTTAACTGCTTAACAAAACAAGATTTATGAACTACATATGGTTGTGTTTTTTCAAAACTTTCATGGCTGTGTAAGGTTCATCAGTTCTAAAATGCACAATACTGCCATCTCCTGTGTCTAAGAAGCAGCGTTTCTAGGTATTATTTTATATGTACGTGCTGCATGAGCAAACAGCGTAGTAAATTAGTATGATTTTTACAAAGCCCGCTCTGGTAATGCTTCACTGCCAGCAGCCCAGACTGTTTATACAAAGCACTTCCTCTAGGTTATGAGAAGCAAGCACCAATATTGTGGTTCACGACAACAATTTATATCTTAATCAACAATGTATATTATTAATGACTATGCAAAACATGCCCACACAAAACCTACAAAATCTCCGAAGGAAGCCTGAATTCTCTTTTAAAAGGCAATCTATAATGCATGTCACAAAGGAAGTGATTACCGACAACTTGCATATTTGGGCCTATCATATCTGCCACAGGCTGCACAGGACTCTTTTCCTGCCATCAAGTATTTTCATAATCAAGACAGCTAGGATGCCTCAGAAATGATGATGATAATTTATCAGCAGCATCATTCAGATGCACCATTGCACCTGTCAGGTGTTCCCCAACTATACTAGAAATTCAACTTTCCTAAGCTCTTTATGAGGCTGTATGCCAAGGCAGCCACGTATCATCCATATTGTCATAGCAGCCACGAGCCCCACTAAAAGCTCACCTAGTGGTAGGCATCGTGCACCTCATCTTTTCACATGTACTTCACAAAATACCTGATGCAATACTTATAAAGCATAAGCTGTCAGCAAGGTAGTTATTACACCTGGGGAGCATTTATATAGCACAATACTGTAATGTGCAGAACCACCCAGGCTAGCTATGATACTGGATACCACAGATGCTGCTTTTCTCTGTAGGGCTGGGAAAATAATACATATCACAACACAAGATTCAGGGGACTTATCTTATGGGGTCTTTAAACAGTTTAGTATATTGAAATTTAAAATACTCTTTTTAAGGGATTCACTGAATCCTGAGTTTTTGACAGGAAGAACAACCCTTACCAACAGCACCTCATCTTGTAAGGTGTGACAGAATTATTCTGGTCTCATTTTCTGGATTTTGCAGATGTTATAGTTCTAACAGTGTAAAAGCCTTGCTGAAAGCAGCTGTACTGATCAGTTATACGTAATCATCCGAAGCAGCTTTTCTTTTTTCCCCACCGGCTTTCATTATTCAGAACGCTGAAACTGAAGCTTCAAGCGGATACTACAACCAGTGGAAAATAGCCTGGAAAACCACATCAAGCCATCCTCCCAGCTGCCTCTGAACATGCTCTTCTCAGCCCCGCCAGGGCCACCTGCTTACAGCCGCCAGGTGAACGATCCGGCAACAACGGCCAGCCTTCTAGTGTCTTGAATTAGCACAGGGCTGGACACTCGCTCCTCTGCTTCCCCGCCTCCTTCCTTTTCCTGACCTGCCTTTGACAGCTACATTTCCTTACCACACTGCTCCGTTCCCTCCTCCCGCCGCAT